AGTGTATATTTATTTAACTCGTGTGCAATAATTCCTAAATAGTAATAGAAATTAGATGTTATTAGGATTAAGTATTGCATGTTTATAGCAAGTTATTTGATGAAGCAAAAATTCTTTCTCTTTGAATCCTAGTATTAATCTTATAGACATAGGACATATTTATTATCTATACTTGTTTGGAAAAAAATATTTAATCCCATTATTACTTGCTTCCTTATGACTTTCTTTTGGCATTATTTAAGTTGTATTATAATAAGTAGTAACTAAGTATTGTATGTACTATTACATATTTCAATCATTTATTTAATTGGATTTTTAAATTTTAAACAAGATAATTATTTTGTAATGGATTCAATTAGTAAACCAATTTTGAATGATGAAATTGAGGATATTGAAGAAGAATCTCAATCTGTTAAACCTAGTAAGAAAAAGGCTAAGTCTTCAATAGTTAATTGTTGGAAGTAGGGAGAAGTGTAATACTTGTAAAAAATAGTATGTGGTTAGTGGTTAAAAAAAATTTGGGATATCATCTTTAAATCGTCATCTTGAAAAGTGTAAGGAAACCAAATTTGAAGATATTGGTCAAACGATGATAGACATGCAAGGAAAATTGAAATCTAAAAAGATTGATCAAATGGTATCATTTGAATTGTGTATAGCTTTAATCATTAAACATGATTTACCCTTCAAATTTGTTAAGAATAAGGATCTTTGGACTTGGATACATTATTTGAATCCTAATGCAAAATCTTTTTCTAGAGATATTGCCAAGGTCGAGCTATTTAAAAAATATATGAAAAAGAAGGAAAAATTGAAAGAAAAAATGACTTCTATTTTTAGTAAAATATCTTTAATTTTTGATTTGTGGACATCTTGTAATATTGGGTGTTATATAAGTTTGATTCCTCATTTTGTTGACACAAATTGAAAGTTAAATAGCATGACTATTAACTTTTGTCATATGTCTTCCCTTCATACTGGTTTTGAGTTGTTTAAGAAGGTTAATGAATTATTGCATGACTGGGGCATAGAAAAGGTTTTTTTTTGTGTCACTTTGTATAATTCTTTTGCCAATTATGTTATGCAAAAACTTTAAAAAATTAACTTGCATTACAAAAGTGGTTGTTATGTGATGGTGAATTTTTTCATGCACATTGTTATGCATGTATTCTAAATTTGATTGTTCAAGAAGGATTGAAGGTAGTCACCCATGCTTTGCATAAAATTAGGTAGAGCACAAATATGTGAGGGATTCAGATATTAGAATGATGAAATTCAAGCAATGCATTGAAAAAACATTAATGCATCTAGTGGTTTATGTTTAAATGTTCCTACAAGATGGAGTTCAACTTATTTGATGCTTCAAAGTGCTCTTAAATATCGAAGTGTATTTGAAGCCTACATTTAGTTGATGAAAATTATACATATTCTCCTTTAGTGGAAGGGTGGAAAAGAGTAGAAAAAATGTGTAAATTCTTGTTACCATTTTAGGATATTACTACCTTGATTTCTAGTACAAGTTATCCAACTCCCAACTTGTATTTTTTACAAATTTAGAAAATCCAATGTCTTTTGATGGAAAGTATAAGAGATGAGGATGAGATTATAAAGAATATAGCTAAAATGATGGTGGTGAAATTTGAGAAATATTGGGATGAATATAGTGTTGTACTTGCATTTGGTGCAATTTTTGACTCAAGGATGAAGTTGGAAACATTGGGTTACTGTTATGAAAAGGTTAATCCATTAACTTGGGAGATAAAATTGAAGGAAGTGAAGAAAAAAATGTACATGCTTTTTTCCCAATATTTTTTCAAAGGTTATACTTTGAATGTTCCAAAGACTACTCGAACCCAATCATCTAGTGTGCCAAATGAGTCTCTTCCATACAAACGAAACCTATTTGATGTAAGTTATTATATGTTTTGAAAGAATGGTTCAAATTTAATTAATTTTTTCTTCCATTATATTTATTTCTAACATTATTTTTGTGTGTCACTTAATATCATTTTAGGAATTAAAAATGTGCAAGCACCAAATTACTAGTAAAACTGGAAAGATTCAACTTGATACTTATCTAGATGAACCAACATTGGATTTTGATTTTACGAAAGTGAAACAAATGGATGTACTACAATGATGGAAAAATAATAGTCTGGTTAAACATTCCTATTACTACTGTTGCATATGAATCTTCATTTAGTATTGGTTCTTGGATTCTTAACAAATATAGAAATTGCCTCTTACCTAAAAATGTAAAAGCATTGATATGTACTCATAATTGGTTGCATGACTTTATAGATGGTAATTTATCTAAATTGAATGTAATTATTTATTATTTATTTATTTTTATAATCATTTCTTACTTTAAGTTATTTTTTTCTTTAATTAAATATGATGTAGATGAAGACAGGGAAAAAGAAGATGAAAATGATAGAAAAGTTGAGCTAACATTTTCTAAGGGTGCATCTAATGTCCTTGATGTAAAAGATGGTGAATAATTTGTACTTTATTATTGTACGACACTTTATTATTGTATGACACTTTATTATTGTATGACACTTTATTTCATTTATGATGCTTACTTTATGGTTTAAGGTATTAAAACTATTATGTATTATGGTCTTCTAGACTTGTTACTAAATGACTTATTTGTAATGGTTTTCAGGTTGTAGAACTATTTTTTTGTAGTCTTAAAAGATAAATTTGTAGAAAATTAACTAGATTTATGTAGGAACAATAATTTTATTTAATTCATTTCTTTTAATTTGGGTAGGTTAGGGTGGGTCAACCCACCATCCCACCATTTTAATCCACTAACTCACCAAAGTGGGCCAACTTGTCAACTCACTGTTAAGTTGGGTGAGTTGCATTCTCTAACCCATTTTTTGGATGAGTCAACTTGCCTCACCTCGATTTCTTGGTGGGCCAACATGCCTTGCTTCGCCTAAGGTGGGTTAGCCCACTTTACCACCCCTAATATGGCCATAGCCTCGTTGAGTGAAGAAGCTCTAAAGAGGATATATCCTTTAAGCGTAGGGTATGGGGGATGTCATGTCGAGTGCAAGCAACTAAAGAGGACTCTAATCTCTAGGCATTGGGTGCAAGGATGATAATTTGAGAACGTGAGAGGAAGTCGTCTAGCGTAAGCGTTTAATTACAAGAGTGGTGTGTGATGCTTAGATTAATAATTAAAGGAAGAGAAATAATGAGCTATAGTTGTGGTACCTATGTAATTAAATAGGGTTGATGAGAAGGTTAGTTTTTAAGAAATAAGAGATTGTTGTTGTTGGGATACAATCAAAATCTCACATCGTTTAAACAAGATGAAGGACATGGATTCATATACATACAATTGTCTCCATTGAAAAAAGACCTTTTGGAAGATGATAAAAAAAATAAAACCATGAAAGCTTAGGTCCAAAGTGGACAATATCTTACCAATATGAAAACATGATTAGAATTGTTTCAAAATATATTGAGTTAAGAATGGGAGTTCATTGTTGGAATTTCTATTCTTTCCTAAGGGATTATTGAATCGGTCTCTTTATGAGTTGGATGAATGAGTTGAACTCCTATGTGGTTATTGATATATTTTTTTGGTAACCATGGTATGTGATTGTTGATGAGATAATTGTATGTTGACAAGTTGATTGTTGTGTTGATATATGATGATGTATGTTGATATGAAGAAGTATATGTTGAACTTTGTGTAAGTTGTAAACTCATTTGGTTGAGAATGTATGTTTTCTAAAAAATTGTATTAGAGGAGAAAAGTTGCTTGTGGTTGAAAGTTGTTTTGTTTAAAAGGTTGTCTCCTCTAGGATTTTGTAAAAAACAATATGGATGTTAAATCGAGTCATATTTGTCATAAACGACTAATGAGTAGGCATGTAAGTCGTGTTGTCAACAAGGGCCTCAACCAAGTGTTGGAAATTTGAATGGGCCTACAGAATAGAACTAAACTTCACTATAAGTTATGGTCATTGCAATCGTAGTTGTTGTAAGCCACTACCTATGATTTCCTATTTATGGTGTTTGGTTTGTTGATGGTGACTTATTAAATTGTCTTGAGTGATGAATGTAAATGTGGATGATGATTGGAGAAACATTTTGTTTACTTTTTTTCCTTCTAAATCTTTAACTTTTTTTTTTTTTTTAAATGAGCTTACCCTTGTTTTCTTTTGTGAACTGTGATAATCGTGTATTTATAGGAAGCAAATGGTAATGTTGTTATTGAAGAATGAAATGTTCTTATTGATTTGTGTCATTCTCTTGGGAGAATGATAGTTGAAAATCTTGATGTGTATAGCTGTTGTGGTTTGGGAATGATAGTTGAAGATCTTTTATATATATAATAAGGCCAAGACTTATTATATATGTTGTTAACTGATAGTGTTTTTTACGATTTTAGCATGAGCTATATTTGTTTCTAAATGAGAAAAATTTACTAAGGCTTTTGGACTCAGTTGAAAGGTTTTATAAGTGAAAATAAGGAAATCTTTTTTTTTTATAAGAAGTATATGAATTGTCATGTGGCGGCTGCTGGGTCGTTACACAATGTGCTGATGCTCACTGTCACATTACTTTTGATTAAAAGTCATATGTTGACGATGTTGTTTCCCAATTCAATCGCATGGTTACCCCTCCCATCTTTTAATTCGCCAAGATTTTAGGATCCCTTGTTCGGATGAAGCATTATCCCACGTTTATTTACCTCGAATAACTAAATGTGTCCTCTTGCATTTATCAATTAACTTTTCTATTAGTTCCATCGGACACTTTCACTAACTTATAAGTTTACAATTTTTTAGTTTCTTAACTTATATAGCTTTAAGTTAGTTTTGCCAAACACCATACATGATTATATTAAAACAAAAATTCATATGGAATCAAATAACTAAAAAATATCTCTGATGGTTGTTCATGCGGCACTTCCAAAAGTGAAGACGCATTCAGCACCACATTAATTGGAAGGAAGATTGAGAAAGAAGAACGGGTAGAGAATAAGTGTGTGTTTGCGTCCTGACGTGAATTTTCACGTTTAACTTGAAGTCATAAATATTAATTTTCACGTAAATTCACATTTAGACTTGGAAAGAGAAGAAAAAGTTGCTTTAAAAAATGGATACCAAACACACGCTAAATCTATAACAAAATATTTGTAACAGCAAGACCAAAATTGTGACCCCAAGATCGAAAAAGCTTGATGCTTTTTTTTTTTTTTTTATCAGTTTGATCGTCTCCATTCATGGTCCTCGTAGTCACTGACTGGTTGTTCTTTAGAGCGTTCAGTATTGCACTTCAGGCAAGCCATGTTTCTTGCATAATTGTAGAAATCACATCTACAGGCAGTAATACATAAAACGAGAAACTTAAAGCATTCAAGGAAAAAAGATAGGGAGAGAAGGAAAGGAAGAAAAACAATGGACTTACTTGGGACAACTCCAGTCCCCAGGATATTTCTTGGAACTTGGGTTTGGCAATTGACAATGCGAACACTTCACTTTACTAGCAAAATTCATGAACCCACACCTACATACATAGAAACATCGATGAGAAAATATTAATTATATACTCCTTGCATAATGAAAGAAATCAAATACAAATATAAGACGGGAATCAAGGTGTTTTCATGGCTGGGGAGGTAGAAAAAAATGACTTACTCGGGACAATTCCAATCCCCAGGATGTTTCTTGGGCCTTGCCTCGGGACAACGCAAACATTTTGTGTTCCTAGCATAATTCATGAACCCACATCTACATATGGAAAAACATTCACGAAACTTGGATATCAATAATCATATGTAATATAAATTTAGCTTTTGCTCATATTTAAATTGTAACTACTTTTAGCTGAAATTTTACTGTGATTTACAGTTTTAGCTGGAGATGGATAAAACAAAAGTCACAAAGGAGCAGTAAATTATTGTTATAGCATAATGGCAACATGTTTGCAGACAGTGCCATAACAAGTAACTAGAGTTCACATAAATGAAGGAAAGATGTCTTAAGGGAGTAATTTAATCAATTAAAATCATAACATATATGGCCACTAAAACGCCTCTACTGACCAAACCATTTTCCCTACACAAGTACACTATAACATAGCAACACAATGCATAGAATTTTAGACTGCAGCAACAATAGATTAGACCTACAAGGCTTAACATACGACCAAACCATTTTCCCTACACCAGTACACTATAACATAGCAACACAATGCATAGAATTTTAGACTGCAGCAACAATAGATTAGACCTACAAGGCTTAACATACAATCAAGATTCAGGAATATAAACTACTAGATTAATTACATCATCAAGTTGTGTATTCCAATGATTGCCCATTAAGATCATATGGATGAGTTAGCTGGAAAAGAACTTCTAAACTGAAGCTTTGAGGAATCCCATATTAATGCAAAGTGAGAGACCTAACATTTTTCAATAGTGGATTTAGTGCCAAATGCAGCTGTCCAACACAATGCAATTATTCCGGTGAAAGAATACATGACATAAAACAGATAGAAAGCTTAATGGTATTTTTAAACAAATGTTAGAAACATACTCCAATATTTGTAATTAAAAAAATATGAATTAATTAAGAAAATCATGTTAAATTAAAGGATCCTATTGAAAACTTTTAGAATGTTGTCCACTCCAAACAGAAGAGAGCCCCACAAAAATCAGTGCACAATACAGATAATTATCACTGTCGCATTGTACATTACTTTTTTAACTTTCTGAATTAGGCATCAATAAGGACCCAACCAATAAAGAGAGCTAACTAATAATATTATTTACAAAACTAAGAATTTAATGAGAAAGAGATGAACCGTGAAAAATTAAAAATATTAAAGGAAAGAATGTTAACAAAGTACAGAGACAGATTAGTAAAATGGTTCCTATTTTGATGTTTGAAAATCATCAATGTTTAAATTTAGACAGTTATCGACATTTTAATTATTGAATATGAAATTGATTCATCTTCTACCATAGGAAAGAGAAACTAAAATTATGATTAATGGGAATTTTCATGAAATAGGGACTTACTGTGGGCAAGTCCAATCTCCTTTTTTCCTTTCAACTTCATTAGTATTGGCTTCCTTTGTTGGCCCCTCTGTTTTGCATTTTAAACATTGTGTGTTTCTCGCAAAATTTAAAAAATTGCATCTGTAGCAAAACCAAAGAGCAAACATCAGTAGATCAGAAGACACCAAATAAGGGATAATTGAACACATGTATTTGATGACAGCCTCAATACAGCACATAGGAGGCAAAATTTTGAGTCATTTAAGATACTAGTCAGTTTGACATGCATAATTGCATTTGAACAAGAACAACAAAGAAAACTTGAGACAGAAATTCATCAAAGAGGTTAAGAGGCGTTTCATATAAATCTTTTGTTAATAACTGTTATCAGATTCTTTTTGAAAAGGAAGCTGACAAACACAAAAATTGACCATGCCGTACAAGAAAAGATAGTAAAGCAACTAGAGGACTTACTCGGGACAGATCCAATCTCCTGGCTTCATTTGAATAGTAGGCGGGTCAATATCCTTAGGCCTATCTTCATTACAATTCAGACATTGCATATTTCTTGAAAAGTTCATGAAATCGCATCTGCAAGTAATTTTGGGAAAAACTATTACCAGTGAATTATTAAATAGCCAATATCTAATTTAAGATGTCAAATGAAATGCAACATTTCCACCGACAAACAATTCTGGATAGCTAAATCATCAATTTTGAAAAGGACGAAGTGTATAACTGACAAAAAGGGATATAAAACAAATACACTCATCCACTGGTCAACAATTCTTATGAATGAGTATTATGACTAAAAACTATCACACTGGGGAAAAAAAACTTGTAAGTTGTATCACTGACAAAAGGGATATAATTACAAAACAAATCCAATCATGAATCATCCACTTGCCAAAAATACTTCTGAAAGAATACTATCATTAAAAATATCAAACAGAAAATAAACTATATTAAGCAGGAGCAAAGTATAATTCTCACCGCAAGTTTTAAGATAAGTTTTATATCTATAATATCTAGTTGCTATTATCCTAGTAAAAGTTGCAGGGAATCAGTAGATGATAGATCACTAGCTTGATTTCTGAAGTACAATGCCTGGTGGATGGAGAAAATTTACTTCTGCGTTAACAATTCCTTTCAAATTTTATGAGAAAATGCAAAAAACTGAAATTTCACGTGCAGAAGTTACAACACAGACAAAGAATATACTTGCATGTGTGAAAATAACTCACTTTGGACACATCCAGTCACCTTTCTTCATCTCTACATCTTTAGACAACTGATTAGGCTTTGAACGAGAAGGAGCAGGAGCATGGATGGGAGCAGGGGATGACTCACTCAACTCAATCAGCTGAGAGAGAAGTTTTCTGGCAGATGATTCAATAACTTCTCGGCCTGGTGGTTTGTCTCCTCCAGAAAGGACAAGTGGATCTAGTGCGTAGAACAGAAGTATTCGAACTATATCCACAGTTCGAGCATCTATCTCGACATCCTTTAGAATCATATAAGCTCTATCACAGGAGCTTCGTAGATTGCAAGCACTACAAACCTGGATGGAAGCAAACTTGTCTTGTCAGACCATAGAGGATCACAATACCCCCTCAAACTCAAGTAGAAAAATAAAAAACAAAAATAATAATAAAATAAAATCCCAGCACATAGACTAATAACAAGTAACAACATTTAACATCTTGCTTTGTTAACCAGAAGAAATACATAAAATACACTCCAAAACTCCCTTCATTATAGAGAAAAATTCCACACTAAATAACCTAGCTCCATTATATTTACGAGACCAACATGAGATTTCACCTGATAATAAAGAGCGAGTTAAAAAAGGGACATCAAAGAATGTTTTCTTAACATTTCTCTTTATTAACCATTACTTGCAAGTTACAACCAATAACTTCAAAACATAAATACTTCCTAGTTCCTACGAAAATAATGAACTAACACATACATCTCCTTCATCTAATTGCAGGTGTGCTCTCAGCCTCTTAGCCGAATTAACAGCTTTACGGAGAAGATTAGGGCACCCTCCCCCAACAACTGCTTGGACATCGTTCATCGGCAGCAACCTGCACAACATATGAAGCAACAAAACAAAATTTAAATCAATGCTACCACAGAACATGTAATAATATTGTAATAACCTCAGATATACACATACCCTTCCCATCATGAATTCTTACATAGACTATTGAGTAAAAACAAAACCAACAATAACAATAGCTTTTCCAGCATTAATCACCACACAAACCAAGGTCTTGTTTGGATGAACTTATCAATATCCACTTAAAGAAGAAGAAAATAAAAAAGATAGAATGAATAAGTTTCTCATAAATTTAAATTAACTTATACATAAAATAATTAGTCCAAAAGTTGATTTTAACTTATGCATAAGCTAATTTATGCCGCTTATTTGAGAAGTTTTTTCCAACCAAGTAATTAATCAAAAACAACAATTACAATAGCTTTTTCCCTCATCATCACCAATCAAACCAAGGTTTGTTTAAATAAACTTCTTTCAAATATAATGGTCATGCATTGTTGGTGTAAAACCATCAATCAATCAGAAACCATCATTAGTAAAACTCTCAGAACAATTATTGTAAAAGTCAACATAAATCATCTTTTGTGATTGGATAACTGTATAAAATTATTAAAAACAAAATGTTTACACTATGAGTGCATAATCTATTTCCTCGTTTATTAATAATTACCTATAAGTAAGAAAATAAAAGGTTAAAGAGTTTAATAGTCATATCCTTACTCTGTAAATCAATCAGATATCAAAGTAAGTATATGTGTGACTTCTTATTTATTTATCTGGTGCACAAATTAATCATAGAAGCACGCTATTTCCTTTAGCTTCAAAACCCAATTTTAATTTATACATAAGCTAATTATTTTAACTTCAATGCTTGTTGAGAAGAGAGTAATAATGGAAGTAAACAAGTTGAATTCCGAGGTTTGAAAGTTGAAAGAGGGGGAAACGAACCCGAAGAGGTCGTAACGGTCACGCGCGAAGCTGAGGAAAGCGTCCTTGAGAGGGTTCATGTTGGTGTAAACGCTGGCGGCGTCGTCGGAAGGGGAGGGTTTGGGGAGGTAACCTTTGGCGTTCAAGCGGTCGACGAAGGAGACAAATTCGGGCCAGGGGTGGTCGACGGAGGGTAGGGTGGCGGCGACGGCGGCGGAAGAGGAGGCACGGCGGAGGAAGGGAATGGGTTTGAAGAAGAAAGAGGGCGAAGGGGCAGTTACAGGTGCGGTTCGACGGGTGCGGAACAGTACAGTTCCGATTCCGTACAGTGTAAGCTTCGAACCTGACATTTTTTTTTTTTTTTTTTTTAGTTTTTTGGGTTTCAGAAGGTAATGCTATGCTATGCGACGATGCTATGCTATCTCAGGTTTATCTCTCTTACACTAGCAGGGTTTTGGCGTAGGAGGAGATAATAAAAATAATAATAATTTTCATTTTAATCTATCGGTTCAAAAGAGACACTTGTGTGACTTGTTAATAATTAGTCAAGTGAATCGTGAGAATCTTTATGTAAAATATGTTTTTAGAGTCACAATTTTATAGTAAATTTATTTATTAGTATTTTTTAATTTAAAATTGATATTTTAGTTATGTAACTTCATGAAGAAAAAAAAAATACTGGATGATACAATTGTGAAACATTCGGATTTGATCATTTCACAGATAAGTATACTAATTGCTAAATTTTGTGTGACATTATTTGATAAATTTATGGATGACATTTGAACATAAAAGTTAAGATATTTTTTTTTCTTCAAAAAACTAAAAAAAAAAAAAATCAATTTTTAGTTAGATAGCTTAAAACCAATTTAAGCTAAATAAATATAAAATAAAAAGGATTATAGAGCATATTTTTACTTAAAAAAAGTGTGACAAATTTATGGTGAAAGATAGATGACAAAATAAAATTAAACTAAATAAAAAAAATGAAAGAGGTAGTTATAAAGGGTTTGAAAAAAGAATTTAAATTTTTAAATCTAAATCTTTGAGATATTTTTTAGAATTTAAAAAATATTAGTTCTTTTATGACATTGTTTAGTTTATTCTTTTAAGATTAGAATGTAAGGTCTATTTAATAGAGATTTTGGTATGAGAAGAATCAATTGACCTAGTGGTTTTTAGGTTTTGTCAAAAAACTTGTGAATGAAAGTTTTTAAATTTTATTAGAAAACTTGTAAAGAAGGAATTTCCAAATTTTATCCATAAAACTTATGAGAAATGAGTTTCTAAGTTTCACTCACAAAACATGAATAGTAGATAAGTTTGATCCTTAACAGAAATAATTATTGACCAAACTTTACTTACCTCCTATCAAGTCAGATTAGTTTAAAACAAAAGAAATACACGCATATATTAGAATAACTATATTGTATGAGAGTATTTATAGAAGTTATTTTTAATAACGGTGTTTCTAGTTGATTTATTTTTTTCAATAACTTGTCTCTTTTGATTTTTTCTTATGTTTAATTTCAATATTTTAAAAAATTATCAATAACTGAACATACTCATCTTATAATATAATTAGTTTTCTAATTTGTATAATATATGTTAAATGTTTATCATCTATAATCAAAGATTAAAATAAATTATGTTCATAAATAAATATTATATTTAAATATAAAAATTATATACATAATTTGAATAAGTTGGTATTTAAAAAAAATATCATAACAAAAAAGGATAACAAGAGAATTAATTTTTTAAAAGAAAAAACTAATTTTCTCTAACAATAAAAATCATCATTATTGTTAATGTTGTCCTGTTGCTATCATTACCATTAACCATAAACATATTTGTAATCATTATACCAGCATCATTACCATGACCTCAACAACCACCATTATCTCATTATTGTTATTACTATTATCATCGTCACAATAATTATCATAATAATTGTTACCAGTATCAATATTATTATCAAAATAATTATTATTATATCTATCACCATTGTCATTAATGAATAATGCTATCACCACCAACCTCCAATATTCCACTTTTGTCATATTATTATTGTTGCAACTACTACTATTATTATTATATTAAAATAATTGATATTAAAATTTATATTATTTTATTGTGTTTTTTATTCCACCAAATAATACACATGATAAAATGTTATTTTTGCAACTTAAGCCTTTGTTTCTCGTTGTTTTTATTGTGATGTAACTTAATATGTATTGAATGCACTTTAAGAGTTTTTTGAGAATGAAACATTTGAAAGAATTAAAAATGAAAAATGTTGGATCATTCGAAATCTATATATCAAATAATCTTCTGACCCATTGAATGTTTAACATGTGTCCATTGATTTAATTTAATATTATTAATTTTAACATTCGAAGGATAAATTGACATTTAAGTGTTGGAGGATGTAGCATTCTTCATTCAAAATATCTCGAATGATTTTGCTACAAATGGTGAGTTTTATGGAAAATTAGGGTATGTTTAGGTATTTTTTTTTAAAAGCAATTATATAAAAGAAAAATAAGAAAAAATTTGAAGTAAACTTTTTTATAAACTAAAATTATCTTATGTGTGAATTAAATTTTTTTTAAAAAAAAATCAATAACAAAATAATTTTTACAAATTAACTTATATATAAATTAATTTTAACATAAACAAAATTTTATTTCATTTTTATTTTCTATTTTTCTCTTATAAAAATATATTTATATTTTTTTTATTCAAACAAATTGTCATAGAATAATGAGAAAAAATTGAGAAATAATCTAATATTAAGACGCGGCTTGTCTTGGCCACACCAACACTTTTTTTACTCCGTTTTTTTTGTTATGTTACTATCATGCTCACATGAAATAGGTTGATGAGATTAAAATCATTCTATGATAATTTCTATCCAAATATTTTACATATCGTAATCTAATTACTAGTTCATTATAATGTCAAAGAGATTTAACATCGATTAAGATGAGATTTTACAATGAGTTTAAGAACATTTTTTATTATTGAATTTTCTTGGATGTCTTAGTGTTTACCTTGTACGTAACTCAATAGATATAGTGTGTTCAAACTCAATTCTCATGCATGGATGTTATCATCTTCAACTACTTCATTGCAACACAAGTCGATGTTATTGATCTCTCTTTGCCAATTCAACTTTTTGTATCACTATTTACTTGAACCACCATGACACACTTTAGCTACTTAACAAGTTTTAGGTGTAGGGTTAGCTTTTGATTCATGTGTTTTTACTTTGGAGTTGGATTTGATTTCAAAGTTGGAGTTTGCATTTTTAGTATTTAGTGATATTAAGAGGGGTGGGGTTAGGAGAAACAAGTTGATATTGTTGATCTTTCTTGATTAATTCAACTCTTTACGTCGTTTGAATCATTATGATAACACATCACATCCTATTAGTCACCATCATTAAAGACCATCAAAGAAAGAAGTTAAATGAGGAGGATTTTGTTTTAGGATTTGAAATTAAGGGATGGAAGTCAAGAGTGAGAGCTTAAATACGTTGTTAGATGATCACGAATCACTTTTAATGAATTTATATTCGTTTTAATGAATTTATATGTTCAGAATTTATAGGATTTAATAGATGAAATTTCCAAAATATATTTTTAATATATCTTTACAAATTTGATATTTTAATATTAAATTTCATTGAAATAAATATTTGTTAAATTTTAATAATTAAAAAATTTAACAATATATAATATTTAATAATTTAAAATGATTTTAAATATTTAATAATTAAAAAATAAATATTAATAAAATTGTATATTAATATTGATAAATAAAAATGTAACTAAATAATATTGATAGATAAAAAAGGATAGAAGAAAAAATAGAGACAATAAGAAGTAATAAATAAGAGATGAATAAAAAGAAAAAAATAAAATAAATAAGATATGATAAAGAGAAAGAGATAGAAAATGAAGGTGAGATAGGTAAAAGAATGAAATAGGAAAAAAAAAAAAGAGAGAGAACAAAAAAGTGAGAGTGAAAAAAATAAGAGAAGTAAACAATAAAAAAAATAATGCAAAATTTTAAAGATTTGGTGAGATTGTTGAAAAAATGAATTATATGTAAATTATATTAAAAAAAATCCTTCAAAATAACCTATTGAATTTTTTTATGTTTTTGTATATCAACATGTTTTTTCTTAAGTGAAAAAGGGTCTTAATTAAATGCTACATATTTTTTAAAAAAATATTGATTGTCTTAATCCACTAAATTTTAATGTGTGTTTTTTTTTTAAAATTAATTATCTTAATTAAATATTACAAAACTTCTTTATATTAATTTTTTCATTGAATACCAAAATAATTTCTTTATAATAAAAAAGTCTTTTAAAATATTTTAAATTTATAAGACAATATACATCCTTAAAGATTGATTAATATTTTCATTTAAATAGATTAAAAATTATATAATTTTGGTATTTAAATAATTAAAACTACTTAATTATATTACGCGATTAAAATTTAAAAAACATAATACTTAAATACTAAAATCATTCAATTAAAATTTAAAAGTTATTAAATACTAAAATTTCTCAATTAAATTATGAGGAAATAAAATCACAATAATAGCGTAATTAAGGGGAAAAAAAAGGTATCTAAGTGTAATTGTTAATATAAAATGAGAATGTGAATAAAGTTTAGATCGGTGGAAAAGCCTAAAACCCTGTCCTCGTGGATCTACGAAACCCACATAAACCCTTCCAACTCTCAACAACCCAACCCATCAACGCCAGATCTTGTTGGTTGTGTTCTGAATCTCAAAACCCACGCTATGAGAAGGCTACCCTCCATTCTCTTCAGAAACCTCGCCGCCCCACGCGCCGCCGCCTCCTACGCCGTCCCCAACCGCCTTCTCCGTGCTCCCTTTCACACCGCCGCCGCCACCTCTCACCGCCGCCGCCTCTCCTCGCTCCTCGGCCCCTTCGCCGCCGCCTCTCTCGGCGTCGCCGGCGCCCTCTTCTCCCAGGAAGTCCTCGCCAAGGAGCCCCTGCCGCCCGAGGCTCTCCCACGCGACGTCGTTCTTTACCAGTTCGAGGCTTGCCCTTTCTGCAACAAAGTCAAAGGTAAAAAAATGAAACTAACTTAACCGTTCAATCATGTTATTACTATCTTCTTTATCGGGCTTAGCGGGTTTTAGATAAATTAAATTTTGTCTAAAATTGCACTTTCCTTTGCGATTTTTGTCCTCAAGTATTAATTCTGCAAATTTAGTGTCAACTTGGCAATTTTAGTCCTCACTTAATGTCAATTGTAACATTGACCATTTTTGTTTTCTAGAGTGCTAGCTATTATTAAGGGTTAAACATATTTCTTTGTCCTAATATGTAAAACTTCGTTTTTAGTGCCTCAATTTTTTAAACATTGACTTTTGGTCCTTGCTTTTTTAAATGTGTCAAATTTTATGCCGTCGCAAATCCTGTTAATCCAATTTAAGTGTGTTTCTCAGTCACCTGACACAAGTATGCTAATTTAAAGGCTCAAAACTAATGATACTTAGCATCAGAATTAGATTTGATTGACAATGTTAGTGAAGAGACTTAAATCGGATTTTTACATATTTATAGGAACAAAAAAATGTTTAACCCTATTATTAAACGTCAACTGTTATGTGATATAGTTAAAGTAATGAGACCAAAATCGAGGATAAATATAGGGGACCAAAAATGAAATCAAGTCTTAAATTGTTGTAGATATGTCATCTTGTGCTCATAATTTCTGCTAAGTATAATATGTATCTAAATGGTGTTGATTGATGGAGAATTAACTAGTTTTAAAATTATATGGATTTTTGTGTACTTGATATGCTTAGCAAAAAGTCTCAATCTAATGCTTAGATTGATGGAATTCAATATAATGGAGAAGTTTGACAACATTTGGTTATGAGTTAGATACACAAGTTTATGTTAGATTGCACCTCCAAACGCAGAAGCTACTTCCTATGGCTTGACAAAGGATGTGCAATGAGTGGTAGGAAATGCAGACGCCAAACCAACACTCTTATTCCTTGGAGGAAGTAGGTCCCTCCAGAGTTATATGAAAAATTTAAATAGAAGCAGCGAGTCATAAAAATACAAAGAGGATGGAAAAATGACACATTGGTAGTCAATTGTCGCTTTTAAATTTTAATTTAAAACCCATTTGGATAAACTTCTTCATGAACACTTTTAGAAAGCTAGAACTAACTTATACGTAAGTTAAAAAATGTTTTTTGGATAAGTTAATATGAGAGCATAAGCTAATTTTAGTTTTTGGAGAAGTTTATTTCATTTTATTTTTTTATAAGTGCATTTGAATAAATTTGTCCAACAGACACTTATCTACCTTATAATGGTGAGCATGGGCTAAGGTGTTGGTGATTATTTTGCTATGCACCTTTCTTTTTTGTTACTGTAGTTTTTCCCATTGAGATTTTTCTGAATATTTTTACCCTGGTTCCTGATACCGGTATTTTTACTTGCTTTACCAGCATTTTTGGACTACTATGATATACCTTACAAAGTTGTGGAGGTCAACCCTCTCAGTAAGAAAGAAATCAAATGGTCTGAGTATCAGAAGGTGCCAATAGTGATGGTAGATGGCGAGCAGCTAAATGATTCATCAGGTTTTTACATTTTCCCTTGAAAATTGATTGTAAAGTTTATTGTGTACTTGTGCCCATTGAATGTCCCAGTATAATTTTTAACTTATGTTGGTTTGTTTGGCAGTTATAATTGACAAGCTGAGACATAAGGTTCTGTCAAAGGAAATTGCAGACTCAACTTCTGAGGATGAAGAGACAAAATGGCGGCGGTATTCTTTTTTTCCCTTTCCTCTTTTGGTATTGTTTTATTTTCCAATCAAGCATGTGTCTAATAATAGTAAGAGGGTGAAGTGGCAGAAATTGTTCTTTAACTATTTGATTGAATTTCACTTTTCCAATTTTAAGAAGCTGTTTTCTGTTTCACACTTTCATTTGAACCAACTAAAAAGGATATATTGCTGGGTGTAACTGGAAGAGAAACCTTTCTTTCTTCCCCAATCACTCTGCTTTTTGTTCTTCACTTTACTTTTGTGATTGAAGAAAATATATTTACTGATGATTTTACGACATTTCACTTGTCTTTTTACGTGAAGATTCAGCATATAAATGCAGTGTGCTATTGTCTGAGTCTAACAAGGTTACTTATCAGTGGACATTTATCATGTCAAAACACTATAAGTTTTCATTGCTCCCTTTGTGTGTAATGCTGTTATCTTATCTTTCTTTTATTACACATAAAATGTTAGGAAACTTATGTCTCTTTTTAGGATAGATTTTGGTCAACGTTCTACTCTTTCAATTGTTTATTTTTGACTCCCTTGGTTTGTATAGTTGGTATTGGTTCAATATTTTCTACATTTTTTCAATGTGAATAATTAATTACCAATAGATATTTTTCATTTTCCGCTCTCATTCTCTTAGTCTAGCTCCACCTGTGATTGCGGTCAATGTCATTAATTTCAGTAAGAAAGGTTAGGTATAGACTGAACATTAGTACCAGCCAGCTTTAGTTTGGGGAGCACTTGTTTTCAGTAAGATGCCCAGTTTAGCATCCATTGTTTGTTCTTAAATTTTTATACCCAAGCAATTTGACAATTGGCTTGGATTGCAAGATACAATATGACAACTTGAGTTGCTGTTGGTAATTTGTACCTGTTGGAGGGAACTCAAACAAGAAATCTGGGGAAGTGATTGAATCCATTTTAGCTTTGCATGTATATCTAATAGGCTAATTTAACTCTCTCTTTTGATTCAGGTGGGTTGATAATCATTTGGTGCATGTTCTGTCACCAAACATATATCGAAATACATCTGAAGCACTTGAATCCTTTGAGTATATTACGAGCAATGGTAAGTTGGTAGGCCTTTGGTAGAGAATATTTTTTTACTATTATTTTTTACACTATTTTAGCACATGTTAATGTTATGGTTTATGTTTCGTTTCCACCAAGTTTTCTGTTGCATGAAATTGCCCTTTTGTTACATTGGAATATCTGAGGCATATACATTTGATTGCACAAGCAATGAGCTTGTCTTTTCATAGGAAAAGATCATGAACGAAGTAGGTCCGTACAACAAAAAATGCAGAGGAAGCTTTTATGTAGATACACCAGGAAACAAGATAGAATGAGGAATCTAAATATTTAACACAGGATGGAATACCAGATAAATAGCCAGCAGTAGTAATTGCATCTGCCCAAAATATTAAAAGGATATTAGCTTGAAAGTGACATGGTATGGGAATTATCAAGAGAAGATGACCATGTTTTCTTTCAACAACACCATTCTCTTGTGTGTGAAGACAACTAGATTGATGTATCATTTCTTTTGATGACATCATGATTTCGTAAAATATAAACTAAGTGACCAAATTGAGTAGAAGTTTCTGAATTTATTTATTTTTTTGAAAAATTCAAACAATTATGATTGTTTTTTCATCCAATAGATCCAAGTACACCATGAAAAGTCATCCATGAAGATTACAAAATTACGAAAGGCTTCAATTGAACAAACATACATTAGTGTTCAGGATGTATTATTTCCATATATTGTTTACTATTCATTTGTGAAAGGATCAGCTTTATACACCTCCATTTATCCTTAGTGTTTGCAACTTTAGAAGATATCAAATGCAAACTTCTTCAGTTTAAAGATTTGCTGTTTCAGTAATGCTGTGATACTGAAATGTGCATGCATGAGTGCACACACCAGCTTTCTCTCATTTTGACTTTTATAATAGTTCACACACCAAGAATCTTCATTTTTTTTATTGAGAAAATATACATTTTCTGTCTGTTGTGTATTTATTCAATCTGTATTAGTACATTTTCTTGGGGAAAATTAACATGATGGTGCGTTTCTTTTACCCATTCCTTTCCCTAATGTAAATTCAGTGAGCACACATACGAGGAATTAATCATTTTTCAAAACTTTGCATAATGTGCTTTATCTACTTTCAGCCCGTGCATTTCATGCTTACAAACCTTTAATTTCAGCAATGCATATCATCGTTTATTAAACTTGAAAACTAATGTGAGATATTTTGATTACATGGACATTTTTAGGCAATTTCAGCTATTTAGAAAAAATTTCGGTGAAGTATGCTGGAGCTGTAGCTATGTATTATGTGTCTAAGAATCTGAAGAAGAAATATAACATTACTGATGAACGAGCTGCTCTATATGAGGCAGCAGAAACATGGGTAGATGCTCTGGATGGCCGGGAGTTCCTTGGTATGTACGCAATTATTGTGTTAATAAGGAGAATATTATATCGATGCAAAAGCATCCATTCACATTGTGTGGAATTTCCAAATAAACTGAGGCCTCTGATATGCTCAAATGCTTTAGCAAATGTTTGGAACTACTTTTTTTTTTTTTCCTGGAGAAACTATTGCTTTTCTATTAAAATTCTCAAGAAGTTGATCTAAAGGAAACCAGATATTTCTCCAAAATAAGTCGAACCAAATGTTTTAGTTTTGTTTTATAATTTTTTTTTTGCCAAACAAAGGAATAGCAAATTAAATGGCTTCATATATCCTTGGTCAGTCAAAATATTGAACAAGAATTCTGCATTTTTAATACTTTTGATTTTCGAGGGATTATTCATTGTTCAGTACCTGCATGCAACCATTGAAAGTAAGAAGGGGCTCTTACATGTCTGTACAAATAATCTCTAGCATTTGCTTCAATTTACATGGTGAATTGTGATGAATTATTATCTTGCCATCATATGATACATGATTACTTTTCTGTCTTTTCAGGAGGGTCTAAGCCTAACTTAGCCGACCTGGCCGTCTTTGGGGTTCTAAGACCCATACGCTATTTAAGGTCTGGCAAGGATATGGTAGAGAATACTCGTATTGGTGAGTGGTATGCCAGAATGGAGAGTTCTGTGGGAGAGCCTTCCCGGATTAAAGTCTAAATTGGGTTCTTTTGAGTCCAAACTACATTTATTTTTTTGGCTTCTATTACTATGCTCTTGGCTTTTGTCTCCACTGGTTGGAAAGGAAGGCATTTGGGTTTCTCAGAGGACATATTTGGCTATTTAGAACAATACTACAGTGTCGTATTAGTGTTATATAGGCAAAAGTTTTGCTGAACTATTGATTCTTTAGAAAATATATTCTTCTGTTATAACCGCTCTTATTGTAAAGATTAAGAAATCTTTGAGCTGTATCGGAGGAGAATAAGGCAACCTCTGTCATGCCATTGATATTTAAAACTTTGTTTTCGATTAATTTGATACACGAAAGGACTTGGTAGAGTTGAATATGGAGTTTGATTTAATCACCTGATCAATCGATGTAATTATGCCACGAAAAAACTGAATTGATGTAATTTAAGGATTTGAGTCTCCTAAAGCGATTGGTACACTGTAAAGATACTACTCTTGATTTTAGAGAAGGCTAATTCTCAAAGTCAATTTTTCCATGATGAAATTATTAAAAAATTCCACGATGAAAGTATTATTGTATTGTACTCACCAACGCATTGAACCCTTATTTTCGGTATACCGAGCTTGATTTGCAATGAGATTTTTGTTGTATCGGATAGTTCTCTTGATATAAATTATTTATAATTTAAAATATTTATTTATCATTAATTTAATTATGATATAATTTATATATTAAAACATCTATTTATTACAAAACTATACTATTATATGAAAAAAATTAGTAATTGTTTTTTGATTTCTATTTTTCATATGGACATTTTAATCTCTTATTTACTTTTATTTTATTTTGGAACTGTTCATAACATAAATAATAATTATTTTTATTCTTTTAAATAAACAATGTGCAGAATTAAGAATAATTTCATTTAAATTTTAAAAACTTGTACAATATGCAACGAAAGGTAGATAAAGAAAAAAGACATTAATATTAAAAGAATAATAAATTCTAAAGTGAACGATTGAAAAGAAATAATTAGATAGTAATAATTAAAATAATATATAATTTGTAATAATTATTATAATATAAATTAGACTAATTCTAATTATTAGTAAGGTCGAGGTATTTCGTACCTCTATTAAAAATAAAATAAAAATAAAAAATTAAATAATAAAAGTATGTTAATTTAATTGATATTATGATTAATCTATTAGTTTTAAGTTCTTAAATTTGATATAAAAAAGTATTTTTTTAAAATTTTTAAAATAGAAAAGTATAATGGTAAAAAAAATATGAAGACCAAGATAGTTATTGAAAAGGGTATTCCCCTTATATATTACTAGAAAAAAAAGACACTATCTGCTTGTATTGTATTAAAAGAAAAAAAAATAAAAATAAAATGAGAAATTATTCATAAAAAAATAATTATTAAAAAATAAACAAATGATAAAATGATTCATGTAAAAATGAAAATAAAAAATAATTATTAAAAATGATATATCTTTTATATATTAATATAAATATATTGATTTCAAGTTTTTAAATTTGATTAAAAATATTTTCTCTAATTTCTAAAATAAAAAGATATAATAGTGAAAAAAAAGTAAAAATCAAAGATAAATACAGTATATATTATAGTATAGATATAGTTAGACGATTTAAAATTCTTAAAAATATTAATATTAGGAGAAAATGAGAAACGAAAATTCTCAACAATAAACAGTTTATGGAAGACACGTTTGTTGATGCGGTGTCACATCCATCAAATCCAACTGTTAAAAAGTCAAAGAAAACCGAACTAACGCACAACAAATCAAACATACATTCTCTTCCTTTCGTAAGGTTTCGCTTTGTCCTTCCACAAACACCACCCCATATCGCTTATTATTATTATTATTATTTATAACATTTATAAAGATAGTAATCTAATTTAATGTACATAATTTTTTTTTACGATTTTATCTTTTAATTTTTAAATAATAAAAATTAATTATTTTATGAATACAAAATTTAAACTCTTAAAATTTTAAAATTTAAAAATCAAATATAATATCAATTAATCTAATAAATATTAATAAATTTAAAATGTTTTATTAAATAAAATATAGAGACAATTTTAATAATAATAATAATAATAATAACTCGTGAATTTGGATGAGTTGTTGATTTTGCAGAAAGTAATATGTTATTATTATTAATTTAAAAGAAAAGAAATTATTAGAAAAGAAAAGAAATGGAGAAAAAATCAGATTCCCCACGGAAGTCTCTGATGGAAAACCTTCTTGGCCTTCTCAGGGTTCGCATCAAGCGCGGTGTCAACCTCGCCGTTCGTGATGTCCGAAGCAGCGACCCTTATGTTGTCATCAAGATGTACAACCAGGTTTTCTTCATTTCTTTCTTCTTATTCTCTGTTCAAAATTCTATCTTTTTCGCTATCTTTCTTGCCCCATTTTTTCCCTTTTCTTTATTTGTGAGGATATCATGTTTTAGTTTCTAGGTTTGGAATGGGTGAAAAAAAGTTATGAACTTGTGTCATGTTCTGAAGAATATCTTTGTTGTCCCACTTCTTTTAATTTTTGAGAATGTTGCTTCCTTTTTTTTTATTTTTATTTTTTATTTTTGAGAATGTCATGTTTTAAATTCTAGGTCAGGGGTGCATGAAAGGTTCTTAATTTTCATGTCCTTTGAGAATTTTTTTTAAGAATATCATGTTTTAATTTCTAGGTTTGGAGTGGGTGAAAAGTTCTTAAGTTGTGTCATGTTTTGGAGAATATCTTTGATGCCCCATTTTTAACAATTTTGGAGAATTTTGCTTCATTTTTTCCTTAATTTAAGATTGTCTGTTTTAATTTATAGGTTTGGAGTGGGTGAAAAAGTTCTTAATTTGTGTCATGTTTTAGTTTAATTGAAGTTTGGCACTCTGGCTTGCATGATAACATTTGGGGATATGCGTGATTGTCATCACTAGTTCTTAATTCTGGTGATTGAAGCATTTTAAATGTAATATTTGTTTCCTGGTATATCTTGTTTAATTATGGAAGATGATGATTAATGAACCCCCTCCTTTTTTTTTTTTTTTTTTTCCGGCAGAAACTAAAGACTCGTGTGATTAAAAAAGATGTGAATCCTGAGTGGAATGAAGACCTTACACTTTCTGTTATAAATCCGAATCACCCAGTTAAACTGGTAAGTGGCTGAATTTGTTAATGTCTTTTTTCTGTTTTGTAAAATTCAGTTCATTTGAAAGATGCTGATGTAGATTTTTGTTTTGGGTTGGTGGGACATGTTAATTAGTATTATAAGTTATGCATGTTTTTCTTGCCTCACATTGTGGAAAAACAAGTTATTAATCATGTTTTTCTTGCCTACTTACTGGGGAAAGACTAGTTATTTTCATGAGAACAAAAGTGAGAATGAGTTTACTTTCACAACCTACACAGCACACTGATGCACCTGAACATGTGCAGACTATCCGTGATTGAACAATGTATATGGTCCCAATAAATTTTAGGAGAAAACTTAGGTTCAGTACCTTATATGCTTGCTTTTGGTGTTCGATAATCAACATTGGAGTTTTACCTTGGTAGTCTGCAATGCATAATAAAAATTTGCACTTAAATCAATATACATTACCAAGGTGAAATTTTAATTTTGATTGAAGAACATGCTAAAAGCACCTAAGGAACTGCATATAAGTTTGGTCCTAAATTTTTAACAAAGCATTGGCAAACTTGATTTTCACTGATCTTAATTTTGGTTGTGTTTAATGTGTTATGTAATTGGGAGCAAAATCAATTCTACCTTAATTAACTAAACAAGAATTTTGTGTTAAATCTTGTTTACAATCCTCAAAGTGTGCGTTTGGACACGCATCCAAAATGTACATCCAAAAATGAAATTGCATCCAAGATGCAAAAGCTACCAGAGGTAGCTCTGATTTAGACGTGTAAAATCACATCCAAAATGCATGACGAAACACACAGAAACTTTGGTAGTTAGTTCTCTAGCATATGCTGATGTGCTCCAACCCTTTGGTAATTTGTTTTTCAATGAGATGTTCTAACACCAATTTTGGTTCATCATGATTAGATTTGTTTTTGGTTGATGATCCTCTCTGATTGCAGACTGTGTATGACCACGACACATTTAGCAAAGATGACAAAATGGGAGATGCAGAATTTGACATTTTGCCCTTTATAGAAGCCTTGAAGACGAACTTAACTGGCCTTCCAAATGGTACTGTAATCACAAGAGTGCAGCCAAGCAGTAATAACTTCCTGGCAGATGAGAGCTGCATCAGTTATTGCAATGGCAAGGTCGTCCAGGATATGATCCTTAGATTGCAAAATGTGGAATGTGGTGAAGTGGAAATCCAATTACAGTGGATTGATCTTCCTGGTTCTAAGGGTTTATGATGATCTTATGGGGTTTATGTATTAACAACAACATGCATATAAACTGGCTTTTGCCTTGTACTATTTATGGTCAGGTTTGTCTATAAGACATGTTGAGGAACAAACTTGTATTTATATCCGGTTGTGATGCATTTGTATAGTTTAGAACTTTTTTCCTTTCATGGGGTCTCATTGTGTTTTGGAATGTGTGGAGGCATTGATTTGGTCCTATATGCTATATGAAATCTGCATGTTATTTATAAAGTAATCATGAGAAGGAAATATGTATGCAACATTCAAAGAGGAGGCCAGAGGGTTTATAAATGATTTCCATCGAGTGTTCATCTACTTTTAACCCTCTCTACCATTCCTTTCTCAAATCTGCAAATTTTCACTTTTCTTACCTTTTAATGGGTGTGAGCAATCTATGCTACTTTAAGAAAGAAATAAAAAACTTGATTACACTTTTGGTCTGATTAATTCCTTTTGGTTAGTTCAATTTTGGCCTCGGTTTCATTTTATTTAGTTAGTTCACTTTATTTATTCTATTATTAAAAAGTTTAATTTAGTTCTTTAATTTTTAAAAATAATGCAATGTAGTATTTTGTTGTCTTATTAAAACTAATGGTATTAAATTTTCATATACATGATAGTGTGTGTGTTTTTATTTATTATTTTTTTCATCGTGGTACGTGTATAAGTACATTAAGTGTCAATTATACACTTTGCATTCTTTTATAGAGCAAGGAAACATTGAACATTTTGATAGCAGAACGATTAATTGAACTAATTAGATAAAATGAGGGGGAAAAAGTAATTTAGTTAAGAAAATAGATGGAGCTTCAAGTATTAGCTTAGAATTTAACGGAAGAAAAGAATAAAGATGTGAGAATTGTTCCGATACTGTGACATAAGCCTCTTTATTTCATGTCTTTAACCTATCCAAAGACATCAGAGCTATGATAAAAAGTCCACAGCTTGCCTGCAATTTTTTTTTTTTTTTTTATTTGATGGAGATATAACTTTTTATTATTGAGTTGGTTTCTATAAAGAGAAAAAGGCTTAAATATGTTCGATCTATATTTAGATGGAGAGTGAGGTGAATATTTAAATGATATAACAGAAACTGTTGATCACTTAACAGAAAGAGATTAACGTTAAGTATTAAATTAAAAAAAATTAGTCAAGTAATTAAAATATTTTTTTTAATAGATAATAATCTGAAAACTAACCTAATTAAATGTAGTTTACACATATTTAAGCCAAGAGGAAATGATATTCTTAATCGTGATTTCATATTCAAGTTTTTAATTAAAGAATATAAATATCAAATTACTTGAAGTAACAAATTTTAGTACTTGTGTTTGCCCATCACAGAACAAAGGCAAGGTAGTGAAGTATGCAACATAGTCATATGATATGTGAACACGTCATCAAACAAGTCAATATATAACCCTCTCTCCATCCCATCACACTTATAAATACTTCTCCCTCGCAACTGCTTCCTCATTCATCCATTCAGTCATATTTTAAAAAAACCATTTTTTATAAAAGTGGATCGGTTAACCGATCCATTTTTTATAAAGTGAATCGGTTTGGTTTTTTTAAAATATGGATCGGTTTTTTTGAAATTGGATCGGTTCGGTGCAGTACAGTTATCCACTTTTTTACTCATGGATCGGTTTTTTTAGAAAACCAAACCGAACCGAACCGATCCACTTTGTAAAAATGGATCAGATAACTGAACCGGTTTTATAAAGTGGTTCGGTTCGGATTTTTTTTCAAAATGGATCAAATTTTTCAATATGGATCGGATCGGTTATGGATCGTTTCGGATCAATTTGGATTTTTTGCACACCCCTAACAGAAGCTATTTTATAAAATTGCTTCTCACCAGCATTTCTTCACTTAACACAACTCATTTTGGAGAATATCTTTCAAGAACTTGGAATGACACGGAAGAGAAGTTTAAATGGACATATCACATATGGATGTTCATTTGATATTCTGAACTGCCTCCTCATGCTCCAAAATTCTGCACTAATATTTTGTAGATTGCCCTTTTTTCATGTGAGTGTTGTGTGTGAATGTATGATGTCTATGAGTAAGATTAGGATATCTAGAATGCGTACAATTTCTCCTAACAATATTTATTTTACCATACACGATTAGGATATGTCAGTATGCTTAAGAAACTTTGTACATTTGGCTTATGAATGATAATTAAGGCAATGCAATGAACATGAAAAAATAAATTTTCATTTGCCACTAAAGTTTCTGGATATGGACCAAGTACGAGGGCTTTTCACTTGGTGGGAAAACATCTATAATTTTCTGGATTTCTAACATTTCATGAGCCATATAACAGCTGAATATTCTATAACTTCATAGTGTAAATGACATCAGGAATGTGAAATCTTTTTAGTCTTCCCGGAATGGACAAAAGGGAGCAGAAAGAGAACTTTTGCATTAAAAAGACAATTTTATCTTGCTTTATGTCATTTTTACAAATATATTAATCTTCTTTCCTTTTGTTTGAGTCGGCTTAGTTTGAATTTGACATAATTCAAATATATTAATTAGTTTAAATTTTAGACTTTTTTTTAACATAATTAAAACCAAACCAACTCAATACATTTGAGAAATTTTGTTTGATCAATGAAATACAAATAGATAATCTTGTACACGTGAAAAATATCTATCAGTTCTCACATAATACATCTTTGGACATGAGATAAGAAATTTCAGTGTGACTACATCTTGAATGGAAGATTAATCTCATAATCGACCTAAAGTCCATACCGGGAAGTCAAACACCTTAATCATTATGATGATTTAAAAAGAATACGAAAAATGGCGTACACTGAAAAGAAAAAAGAAATAAAAAGGCAAGATCAATAAAACAAAAATAGAGTTGACCCAAGATATAAAGGATGTTATACATTTTTCTTAGTTAACGATTAAATATTCAACATGCAATATATCAAATGATCATATCTATGAGGAGAAAGCAAAGGTTTGGGATTAACCCATGATATGAAGGTAATTTAAAACTTTGTTCTTCCTCTTCTTCTTTCCTGCCTCTCAACTTTTATTAGTTCTAGCTTCTTCTTCTTCTTTTTTTTTTTTTTGTGTATTGTTTGTTTGTTAGGAAAACTATTATTTTTTTTTTGGAAAAAAAATCAAGAACAGCATTTAAGCTAATAGGGTTTTGATCTAAAATTGACTAGGCAGTTGGGAAGCATCTTTTGCAAAATCTTAGTATTAAGTAAAATCAGCATTGATTAACGTGTTTGAAATCCTTTGTGCATCCACACAAAAGTGCTTTTTATCATCTCTCTAGCAATGTCATTTAAAATTAAGCTTTGCTCTATAAAAAGGAGGCTTTACGTGTAGAATTTCATCTTTGCTTCTCTTTCCCAAAAAGTTTGTTTCCTTATCTACAACCGAATTGCCCTAATTAGAACCACATCAAAAACATGTCTGCAAATCTGCTTCCTTCATTCAATTCACTTCAAACACATTCCCTTCACAACTCACCAACAACAATTATCCAGTTTCAAGTTTCATGACCACACAACAACTTAATAATTACTACAACCATAATTATTAGGATAAACTCAAATAAATAAATTTAAATTTAAATTTACAAAATTATATTAATAATAATTGACATAAATAGTAACAATTTATATTTTTTAATAAAATTATCGATACTTTATATTAATATTACAGTTATTTTTAAAAATTATTGTTAGTTATATATATATTCTAACTTAACAGTATATAACACTTAAAATTTCAATAAATATGATGAATTAAAATATCATGGAAAAGCAGTTGAAAATAATCTATATATAAAGAGAATATCTACTATATATATAACTATTTTACCTCTTAATTAATAGTATGAATTACATCTTTACTATATTCTAATTGTAGAATTATCTTATATATCTTTTATTTTTTTTAATTAATAAGAGAAATTGCAATGATAATAATAAATATTGAGCTTAATCTACATTGCACCTCTTTTATTTTATAGATTGTTGTATTCCATGTTAAAAATTGCAGCATCCGTAATTTTATCACAACTTAAATAGTAAGAATTTTCTCATGTATCCCTTATTTTCTTTTTTTTTCACATTTTATTTACTTCTATATTTTTTTTCTTACTACACATCGGTTATTATATTAGTGTTTTCTTGACATCCATCACAAGCTTCAAGAAGGGATATGGGAATGTCGTTATTGTAACGCAAACGTGGTGTGTTAGTCACCCATTCGTGTTATTAGCCAATTGAAGCATTGAAGGCCACAAAATTTTTGGAAACAGCTGAATTTTTCTCATTAAAGAAAAGAGAGGCTAATTACACATTCATTATTTCATTTTATTATTTGTTGTTTCTTGGGGGAGGGTGGATAAGCAAGGTAAATAAGACAAAGGAGTTTATAGATTAAAGAAATGAAATGCGTGCATTCCTTTCATAAGAGTCTTTGGAAACAGAAAAAACCCTTGTAGAATGTGTACCTATGCATGGTGTGTTTGGGGTTTTGAATACTTAAGAAGTGAAATGTTAGAAAGATTTTTTTATGTTTTATTATTAGTCAAAATTTATTTATTATAATAAAAAATATTGAGTGTGTTAATAAAAAAATGTTTTTTATTTTACATTAAAAAACTAGTATAATGCTTATACAATATTCATGTAACAATAATTACATTAATAACGTGTTTGAATTCGCGTCAGGAAATCACGTCTTGCTGAATTTGACGCGGAAATAATATATAAAAGCTTTTGATTTTCACGTTTTGAACGCACGTTAACTTCAATAAACGTGAATCCAAACACGCTATAAAAAACTAGTAGAATGCTTAAGGCGAGACAATGATACCAGACATTCTAACATTCAAAAATCAAATTATATTCTGACATGTAAAATGAGTATTATAAAAATTACACATAAAATATTCATATAACAATAGTTAAATATTTATCATTAGTTATAGGGGACGCGCATGTGACCAGCTAGAGAAAAGTATGAAACATTACAAAATTAAAAAGATCATTAAATAAAATATAAAAGTAACTAAAATTTATAACTTTTGATAAATTTAAGCTATAATAATAAAAAAAATCAGAAAAAGTGTGATAACATTTCTCTGAGCATTGTAAAATTGCTGACTGACATGTCAATCAGTGTTCCCCAAATGTTTTTACTTTCATTCTCTGCCATTCTGATCCAAGTGCCCTCCATCATTGACTTCAACGCATGCTTTTGTTATCATTTCTAGGTGAGATTTTCTACTATCTATGCATTTTATT